TCAGAGCTGTTATTTCCTTGGCAGCAGTCAAGGGGTGGAAGTTATATCAAATGGATGTATACAATGCATTTTTACAAGGAGACTTGTATGAAGAAGTATACATGACCATTCCTGAAGGTTTTTTTGTGAAAGAGAAAAGTGCTGGAAAAGTATGCAAGCTTTTGAAGTCCTTATATGGCCTAAAGCAGGCTTCACGGCAATGGAACATTAAGCTTACTACTGCCTTGACCTCATCTGGTTTTCATCAAGGTTCAAGTGATTATTCTCTGTTTACTAAGAGGGAAGGTGACAAGATTGCTATAGTCTTGGTTTATGTGGATGACTTACTAATTACTGGTAATGATCATTCCATAATTTCACATACTAAAGAAGTATTGCATGCAGCTTTTAAGATCAAGGATCTAGGAGAACTTAGATACTTTCTTGGCATTGAGTTTGCCAGAAGTGATGAGGGGATTTTAATGCATCAGAGAAAGTATGCCTTGGAGTTAGTGGCTGACATGGGACTTGCAGGTGCTAAGTCAGTTACAACTCCCATGGAGCAGAATCAAAAGCTCACCACAGTCGAGTTTGACCAACATGTACCATCAACTTCTGAAGATTTAACACTAGCAGATCCCACTAGCTATCAGCAACTTATTGGTAGGTTACTCTATCTCACAACAACCAGACCAGACATAGCATTTGCTGTACAGAGCTTGAGTCAATTTATGCATTCCCCAAAGAAGTCTCATATGGAGGCAGCCATGAGACTTGTGCGGTATGTAAAACATGAACCAGGATCAGGAATATTGATGTCTGCTACTGGTGATAATCTGTTGAAAGTATATTGTGATGCTGACTGGGGAGCTTGCATAAACAGTAGAAGATCTATAACTGGTTATCTAGTGCACTATAGGAGTTCTCCTATTTCATGGAAGTCCAAGAAACAAGCCACAGTCTCAAGGAGTTCAGCAGAGGCAGAGTATAGAGCTATGGCATCCTCAGTTGCAGAAGTGATATGGATGATAGGGTTGTTCAAAGAACTTGGTGTGCAAGTCAAGACACCTGTTTCCTTGTTTTCTGATAGCAAGTCAGCCCTCCAAATAGCTGCCAATCCTGTGTTTCATGAGAGGACTAAACACATAGATATAGATTGTCACTTCACTAGAGAAAAGATTCAAGATGGTCTGATTGTCACAACCTATTTGCCTTCATCAGAACAACCAGCTGATCTGTTCACTAAAGGCCTTGGTAAAGCATCTCATACTTACATGATGTCCAAGCTCGGAATGAAGAACATCTTCATAGGTCCAAGCTTGAGGGGGAGTGTAAAGGAAATTGGAAAATGCACAAATGTACCTTAGTCTTAAAACACTGACTAATTAGTTAAAAATAGTTAGTACTGTTTATGAGGCTAAGCTAATTAATTTGTTTTAGTCATTAAGCTGGATTAGTTAGGAATATTGTTAGACAGTTAGTTAGAGTGAGCTGTCATTTCTACTTGTACGGTATATATAGGCTCACATGTATTCAGTTACAGAATAATGAAAATATCTTCTTCTTCCCCAGAATCTTCTCTGTTTTTCTCCATTGTTGGTATGTTGATTCATACACCTTCAGTTACTTGACAGAGGGACTTGAGGTCATTTTGGATACCACACTTAGCTTAGAGATATGAAATCCTTTAAATTAAAATGATTTTATAAGAAACTATCGTGACAATTGGTATAATTGATATATTACAGATGATTCTAGAAAAATTGAAGAAGGCATACTTTGTTTTAATTTTGTATATATATCTTCAGGTTCTTTCTTTATTGATATTCGAGAATGGTATAGATGTTTTTTTCAACTATTATATGGTTGAAATTTATTAAAAAATGGATTTTCCATTGAAAAATATTGCTCGACAAAAGATTTGTGAAAAATATGATGAATACCCTTAATTTCGACTATGTTATCTCCACGTATATGTTGTTTTAGTATATGATTTGTGTATCACTTGAAAAAACTTCTTGAGATCTTTCCAACGATATATTAATGAGAGAAATATTGAAAACACCCCTAAACTTAACGTAAATTATTAGTTTCATTCATAAATTATTGACACCCTTAAAAAACACCCCTTGACTTGATTAACTAAACTTAAATACACTTCTGATCTTGCAAATAGTCTCAAACGCTAGTAGGAGCATGAGACTGTTAATAAAAAACCGAATGAATTGTTGAAAACACCCATAAACTTGGTAAGAAGGGGTGTATTTCACTCATAGAGCCCAAGGTCAAATTTCTAAAGATGAGGCCCAATTTATATCAGCCCAATTCAAATACAATGAGTCAATGACCCAACATGAGCAGATCTGGAGAAGTCTAGTCCACATTAAAAGAGAGAAAGAAGAAAAAGAAAAAAAAAATTCTCCTGTGGAGACCCAAAGTTTGTAAATTGATATCCAGATTAACAAAAACAATATATCCAATGTAATTCTACAAATGAAGTCTGAAGAGGATAGATTATTTCCAATGATTCTCGATTCAAAAGAAATATATTTGACGTAGGATTACAATAAAAATATGTCAGTATATTAAAATAGCAGGATACAAAGTAAATGAAGTCACACGTGAGCAATATACAGTGCAGAATAAGAGATATGTGACTACTAACTACAAAGTAGTAAGGGGGAGAAAAAGAGCTAAGAGGTTAGATTTTTGGCCTAACTCCTGCTACAACGAACCTCTCACACCTAGCGTATTCATGCACCTCGCTCTTACATATTCACATCCCCTAACCATTTCAACTTCATTTTCTTTATTTTGTCTGTCACAAAGATCACTCGATCCCACCTTACCGGTCCCATAGGTTAGGACAAAGTATGAAATATATTTTCAATTAGGACCACCAAATTCATGCAGTTCAATATAATCTTCTCAACCTTGAGAATAATTTCAATTCTTGTTCTTTTCCTCTTCATACTAAATGTAAAATTATTACAACTTGCTCTCATTTTAAATAGACAAAGACAGTAACCATAAAGATACAAAAAGAAGAATAATTATTTACCTTTCTCAAATTTTGAGTTAATTATACTTTTTTTTGCAGTGAAGGACCACATCAAAATATTTCAGTCTTACTAGTATTGTTGCTATCAATTGATATTAACCTTGTAAATTTTGAAAATCTAGGACTCTCATGATTTATTAACTTATGTGTTTGGACATGACTTGATTGAGTTTTTTTTTTTTTTTTTTTTAAATAATAATATTTGAAGTTATGTTAAAAATGATATTGGGAAGAAAAATTTGTGTTTGAACGTAAAGATTAGCTCCCATTTGATTATAAATTTTTAACGTTCAAAGATTAGCTCCCATTTGATTATAAATTTTAAAGTTAAAATTTGAAAATTTGAAGTTGTATTTGGACATGCATTTTGTTTAGATTTTCTTTTTTTTAAAAAAAAATTTGTGAGTGGGAGTGAAATTCCTTACTAACGAGTTTGAGCCAATTTTTGGAAAATTATAAATGTTTTGAAGATAAATTTTTCAGAAGTTGAAGTTGAGTTTGAACATACATTTCACCTTCTTTTTTTTAAAGTTTTATGGGTGGAACTATAATTTCTCCCAAAAAAGCGATAAATTTTCAAAATCTAGTCAATTTTTTTGGTCAAATAAATATTTAAAGATGCATTTTAAAATCTAATTCAAAATCTACGGTCAACACTAACTTGATTAGAATTGTGAGTTAAATTTCGTTGATTTACACGTATATCTTCATTTTAGGTTACTATTTAGATTTTATTCTTATTTTTAAAAAGTTATGCAAATATAACCCTTTAAAAATTACCCTTTCAAACAACTGAACGTTGGACCCAAATATTTCCTCATATAGTAGTTAACATTACAGACAAACCAATTATATCATTTAACGTTTGTAATAATATATAAATTTAGATCCTGCTCTAATACTTTCTTATAAGATTTTCATTATGCTTTAAAATAATTTTGAAACTGTTGTCTATAAAGGGACATTCTTTACTTGAAAACCGCATAAAACATATTTTTTCAAATAAGTTAAAAATAATATATAAAAAAATTTAATAAATCATAAATACTTTTTTTTTAAAATTCAAATATTATTTCTAATAAAATCTATAGACAAATATCTCCAATTATTGTATGTGTAAACTGCAATTTCTGCAACATCTGGGGCCTATATGTATATGTTTTTTGTCATTGACTGGACCAGATGTTCTGCTCTATGTAAGTCAAATTAGGACAAGTGTAGAGATGTGAAAATTTACTATTAAATAAAAGTATTTATGATTAATTGCCGTTAAAATATTTATTTCTCAACTACAAGTATTTGGATTTGTTGAGCATTAAGAACAGGGTGTTTTTTAAGCAAATCTTCATTTCTTTGCTGAATTTACTTATTCTCATAGAGGAAAATAATTATCTAGAAAATTTAATTATTTATAGAGAAAATTTACCTTCTAAGTAAATAAAGAAGGCTCGTTAGATTCGTAAATCAATAATACTGGATATGTTACTGTTATAACGAATAAATAAATAAATTAAGCATTGTAAAAGTTTTAAATAAATAGAAAAAACTTAAGTTTTGTATTATATCTAATTTGATGTAGCATGTTAAGTCAAAGTATATATGATAGAAAAAATTAGGTAAAAAATTAACGAAAAACTTCATAACTAATTTCTATTTTTTTATACAACAAACATTATTAAGAAAGAAAGAGAGTATATTTATTTAAATTTTCAACCAAGAAAAAGAATATAAAACAATCCTCAAAAATAATACTATAACATATCTAAAATATAAATTATCCATTTTATTTCTCTATCTTTTTTCTTTCAAACATATAAAACTGAAACATTATGAGCCTTCGCTTCGAAACATTTCTTTCGAGCGAAAATCTATTACTCTCTGAAATAATTTTTTACCTCACAAAGTATAAGAATAAAATCTGCATAAATCCTACCCCTATTCTACCCGAACTCTGTAGTACTTATGAAATTACATTGGATGTTGGTGTTGTTGAAATCTCAGCCTTAGGTTCACATGAGCTAAATGAAAATGAATTTGGAGTATTTGTTGTTGAAGTAAATGAATAGCTAATCCACAAATCACAAAATGCACCAATAATATACTTATGAATTTTTTTCTCATTAACCTCCAAATACCAAGCCAACATCTCTTCAAGAAACTCATCCCAATCTTTAATCCCTTGATTTGCTTCAACCATTTTTACCATTGATTTCTTGAAACTCCCATAAGGATCCCTCGAACTCGATAGCTTTATAACACATGAATCATTAAAAGGTAGATACTCGACCTCGTTACTACTATTATTAGTGCTCTTTGACAATGTTGATGATGACAGTACTTCAAGAATTGAACTAGTTTTTTCTCCTGCCTCGAAAAAAAACCTCCCTTTCTCTATTGTTAGGCCTTCAATCACTTTATCTACCATGTCATCATCAACATTGTCGTAAAATCTTTGAGAGTTGAAAATGTTGTGATTATTTTCAACTCTAAAAGAGAGAGTTTTGGGGTTTCCACAATGTGGCAATGGACATAGCAATGGAGAAAAAGAAGTTTTTTTTTGGCTTTTGAAGAGAGAAGAGAGCTTCATTTATTTTTTAGAAAAAATAAAAAGGGGGAAGTAGTGAAATTTGAATGGTGAAAAAAATAATGTGACCTTTTTCTTTTTATAAGTTGTTGGAGGTTGATGGTTGGGTTGTGAAAATTAATGTAATTTTCTTGAAATTTGTTTGGTGTGGAAAGCAATAAATGCTATGACAGTTTGCTACTTCAAATTTAAATTTAAGGATGGGTTGTATATATATAATATGCTAAAAGTTTTACTTCTACATTTATGAAATATGTTACATTTAGATAGGACTGAAAGTAAAATTAAATTGTCAATTGACTTAAAATGAACATCTTTCAAATCAAAATAAAAGTTTGAATTTTTCTTGGACTTTGTATTGCTGCTACTCAAGTTTGGAGTCATTCTCATAGTCTAGCGAAAATTTGGACTCCAAATTAATTAAAGCCTTTCAATCTACATTGTAGTTGGGTTCTCATGGAACTAAATGCTCCAAAATTTTTATAGGGAAAAGGGTCTGATGTACCTCTCAATTTTGTCATTTAGAGCTGATATGTCTTCGTTATGAAAGTGGCTCTGTAACATCTCGCACCTAGAAACGACTATAAAGAGTTTAAAATATGAAAATATTGATTTTTGGAAAGAATAAGGAAATTTGGAAATTTTGGTCTAAGTTAAGAAAGTGAGTTTTGACCATTTTCAAACGGCCATAACTCCTAGCTCAAGAAGATTTAGGAGCAGCTCTTGATATGGTTGGAAATCCCTTGGAGAGATCTTTCCAATGCCGCTGAGATTGCATGATTTCGACATCGTATGAGTGAGATATGCCTTTCATAAGTTGGGTTGTTGGATTGATGAAAGTCCCAATCCGAATTTAGGGAAGGGCAAAGTACTCTTTTTTCTAATTAATTTCCTAATTTGATTTTAGGGATTTATTGGGGTAAAAACATGACATAGTCAATTTGGAGAATTGATAAATACGCTTAGGGCTTGGAGAAGAGAGAAAAGAAGAAAGAAAGGGAGAAAAAGGCAAGAATTCGTCAAGATCATCCAAGCTTGCGAGTGCAATTCGTCGGGGGTGATCCCTATTAAGGTATGTGAGATCTTTTCGTGTTGGGTTAGTTCACCCACACACCAACTTGTTTCAATCCAATTGTTTTGAGTTGTTTACATGTTGAAGAAGTAAGGTTCTTGAAGAACAAATTGTAGAATTCTTGTTGGTTGAGTTGTTGATGCTTGGGGGTGAGTTGATTCATGTTTCCGAGTTATTTTTTGAGTTAGATTGGTTGTATATTGAGGGTACAATTGATCATAAGTGTTTGGGGAAGGAAATATGGAAGTTAGGGAGGTTTAGAGAGGAAGAACGGAAGAGAAAAGTTGGAAGTCGCTGGGTAAAAGGGCTGGGGCGTCGCGCCTGCCAGAGCGCCACAAAAATTTCTCTGAAGTTTTGCCTCTGGCGTGTCGCCCCAGCCAGACTTCTCTGAAGTTTGAGGGTTGGCGCCGCGCGCCTCTCAGAGCGCCAGGGACGTTAGTTCTCCCCATTCGTTCCCTACCTTTTCGTACTTGTTCTTAAGCGATGTACCTATGTTTTCTAGTTGATTCCAACACTCTAAGGTACATTCAAACATCATGAAATCATCCATAAACATGTGATCATGAACCTTGAATCCATAATTCAATTCAAGGAAAGTTAAGATCAAAATCAAAGAAGTTAAGAGTCAAGTTTAGAAGTTAAGAAGCAAGTCAAAGCAAAGTTTCTTAAAGTTTTCAAGAGTCTTTAACAAACGTTTTAACTTCGTTTTTTAGGCTCAAGTTTCAAGTTAAGCAAAGAGTAAAGAGTTGAGTTCATTTCTCAAAAAGCTATAAGGGGACTAAGTATTCCCAAAGAGTTTATAAATGTTTTCACATTTGAGCAAGAAAGGGAACATCGATTCCAAGAGAGCTTTTAAGCTAAGTTTTGAGTAATTATCTCAATTCAAAGAAAGAGTTTGGTTTTTACAAACATATGAGCTAAGTATATTTTGGGAGTAGTATTGAGCACCGATATGGGGATGCGAGTTCATATTAACTCAAGTCTCCATAAACCATGTAGCTATCATTGGTAGTAAATGATCATACTTTTTAGATGACTCCTTAAGATGCTTTTAGCATAGACTAGTGGATCCACTAAGTTAAGCGTTATATATGACGGCAAAGTATAGGACAGTTCTGACAACGTGGGCAAGTTGTAACACCACTTAGGCTCATAGTGATAGTTGTCGGTTAGAGAATCTCCCACAAAAGTTATATTAATTTTATATTTAAGTAAAATTGAGTTTGTTATTGCTTTATCTTTAACGAACTAAGTTGTTTACACTGTTTTACAAGCTTTATATATATTGCATGTGTCTTATTACTTTATATTGAGTTCAGTTGTTCATGAGTTAAATAAAGCCAAAGTAAGTGTTCATTTGTACAACTTTTAAGCTTAAGTTGTGGTTTAGCATTTCAACTCGCATACTCGTACATTCAATGTACTGATGTCAGTTGGCCTGCATCTTATTATGATGCAGACGCATGTAACCAAGATCAGCATCCAGCGCGCCGTTGATCCAGTTGAGCACTCCAGAGTCAGTGGTGAGCCTCCTTGCATTCCGGAGGACTCTTTTATTTTGCTTTCCTAGTTTTTTTTTCTTTATTAGGATGTTGTGGGGTCTGTCCCAACATCCATCTCAGTAGTATAGAGTTTTCATAGACAGTTAGACAGTTAGTAGTTTAGTTGTCTTTACATTATCATTCAGATGTTGTTTAAAGACTGAGTTGCCACTTTGGCTAAACTATTATTTCTCAAGTTATGCATGAGTTATATTTTCTTATGTTTAAGTCTTCCGCTGAGTTTAGAAAGCCAGGCCAAGTGTTCGCTTGGGTCCAGCAATGGTCTTCGAGTGTCGGCCACGTCCAGGGTGTAGGCTCGGGGAGTGGCTCATATATACCCTTACCTTTATACAAACGGCTCACATATACCCCTACCGTTACAAAATGAGCTCACATATACCCTTCATTTAACGGGAGTGAAAAAATTAGTTTTAAATTTATATATTTAACCTTTAATTTTTTAAAAATCATTTAGGGGTATTTATGATCCTTCTAGCAAAGTTCAAGGTATATTTTAATCTTTTTCATACATAAATTATTTTTTGACTTCTTTGATTATCATTATTTGAGTTTCTTATTCTTATTTTATTTTCTTCTTTTATTCCTTAATGTAAGAAAAAAATTTAAAATGACTTTTTTGTGGCTATATTATAATTTAAAACTATTTTTTCGGCTATATTGTAATTTAGTTTTTGTATTTGGAAAAAAAAAATTAGGTCATCTATAATAAATTTTACAAGAATATTAGTGAAACATAAATAAATTTGACCATCAAAATAATAAATCTAAATTAGTCATTGAAACAAAAAAAAATGTCAAAAAAATATATGTTTGAGTAGGATTAATAAGTATTCCTATAGGGGATTTGTTTTAAAAGAATTATTAAAAAATTAAACAAAAATTAATTTTTTCACTTCCGTTGGAGAAAAGGGTATATGTGATCCATTTGTATAACAGTAGGGATATATATGAGTCATTTTCATAACGAGGGTATATTAGCTCTAAATGACAAAATTAAATGGTATATCAGACCCTTTTCCCAATTTTATCAATCAAATTGAATTTCAAAATTTGAATAGTAATTTTGTGGGAGTTTGATCATAAAATTTTTAAAAATATTTACGTTTAATTTTCTAAGTTGGAGTTGGAGTTTTGTTTGACCATATTTTCTGCAAAGAATATTTAATTATTTTTTTTTAAAAAAAATATGGTTTATACTTTATACCTAGCAAGTTCTAAAAACTAGCAAAATCATCCAACTCAACTTATTTACCTCAAACATATAATCAAATTTTCTCTAAAAGAATAATATCTCATAATAAAGAGTCACATAAAGTCATAAACTGAGAGCCCGTTTGGCTTAACTTAAAAAAAATAGTTTTTAAAAAGTCAAACTTAAGTAATTTTTAAGTTAAAAAATAAAAAGTAGAGGAAGACCGACTTTTGATTTATAATTTTTTTGGTCAAACTTACTTTTAAGTTGTTTTTAAGTTTTGGAAGTATTTGACAAAGGTAAAAATAATTTAAAATAAGTTTTAAATGACTTCAAAAAAGTTAAAAATCAAAAGTCGGTACTCTCATATTTTTCATTTTTTGACTTAATAACCATTCAAGTTTGACTTTTTATTTTTTGATTTAAAAGCTACTTTATTTTAAAGTCAATCTAAACAAGCTCTAAATCTCATATACAAGTTACTAAATATTATTACAAATATTTTTTTCACTAAATGTAAAATTTTTGGCACTAATTCTGACTGAGTAATTTCTCCACCTAAGCTTACCAACTAGGATACACGCTCATTAATTTTGACTCAATTAATAACTCAAACCCTGGCCCATTAATCTTGCTAGTTTCAACCCCACTAAAATTAAAAGACAAACATCATCTTTTCACCTCAGCTTTGCTAAGCTTGAGATGTCATTCGTCAATTTTCTCATAGAAGCCCTCAAGAATGATATTTGTCACTTAATTTTAGTAGGACGAATCTAGGAAGAATGGGTTATTGTTTGGATCTCATAGTATAACAGGGTATAAATAATCTATTTCACATAGTTTAAGGATAATTTTGACCATATTTCACTTATTTTTTTAGAAAAAATAAAGGGAGGAAGTATTAAAGTTTGAGTGGTGAAAAAAAATAATGTGACCTTTTCTCTTTTTATAGTTGCTAGAGTTTGATGGTTGGGTTGTGAATAATTAATGTAATTTTCTTGATTTTTTATTGGTA